AAATTAGCCAAGACTCAGAACCAACATAATCTGCAAATATAGGCGGTTCTTGGTTCTTGGAACAAGACAAACTCTTCCTTACTTCTTATAAACCCAGTATTATTTTTCCTTTCAAAATCATAGGCCTTGGGTCTAGGATATTGCAACAGCTTTTTTGCTATCTCTTCTTTTGTGCTATTAGGTACAGATTTGCCTGTATTCGCGAGGGCAAAGAAAACTGTTATAGGATCTAAATATTAACTATGTTTTCCTTATCTGTAGAAAACTACTGCTGCTGCTGGTTCGATTTTCTCTAGGTGGGCCATCTGCCATAAACTACTACTGCTGCTGCTGGTTCGATTTTCTCTAGGTGGGCCATCTGCCATAAACTACTACTGCTGCTGCTGGTTCGATTTTCTCTAGGTGGGCCATCTGCCATAAACTACTACTGCTGCTGCTGGTTCGATTTTCTCTAGGTGGGCCATCTGCCATAAACTACTACTGCTGCTGCTGGTTCGATTTTCTCTAGGTGGGCCATCTGCCATAAACTACTACTGCTGCTGCTGGTTCGATTTTCTCTAGGTGGGCCATCTGCCATAAACTACTACTGCTGCTGCTGGTTCGATTTTCTCTAGATGGGCCATCTGCCATAAACTACTACTGCTGCTGCTGGTTCGATTTTCTCTAGGTGGGCCATCTGCCATATGAAGTGTTGGTCCTGAGAAGGTTTAAAAAGTTTAAAAAAATCTAAATTTTTTAATAAAATATAGTAGCATATTAAAAGTAATCTATTTAATTCTAAAATAACCTGGATCGCTGAAGTGTCTGATTTTTCAGCAGTCAAAAACTTTGCAGCATAAAAGATTGAAATAAAGTTTGCCATTCTCTCTACCTCTGTGATCTTTTCCATGTTCATATTCAGAAGTTCCTTAGTCTGATTAAGAAAAAGCATGACCTTAAGGTAGTATATGCTCTTAGCCATAAACCGTGCATGATGAACTGCACCAGGCTTGTGAATGTGGGTAGGTTTAATTTCTGGATCCAAGAACATGAGGGCCAACTCGGCTAGTTTATGATAATCAGCTCTTTTCGTTTGACTCTAGAAGATTATATTTATTTATTATTTATATAACTCATATTTAATTTTCTGTTTATCTTACAATAACTTTAACAAATATCAACCTGACAATTTTAAAAACTCCAGTTTCAACAATCTTTCTAAGCTGATTCTTTGCACAAATTGCCTGCTTTTCTAACCAAGATCCACAGTAATATTGCCACTTAAGTGGGTGGTGACGCAGTTTACAATATTCAAATCATGCCACTTTTCCTTTAGACCCTTAAAAAGAATATTTTCAGGACCACTTGTTTGTTCAATAGTTACAGCCATCCAAAAATATTTAAGAATTATTTCTAAAACATGATGTCTGCATGCAAGCTTCAGCATAGGTTTCCCAATATCTTTTCTTAGCCTGAATGATTTATAAATATAAATAGTTCACATTTCTTTATAATTAACTTCAAATTTTAAATTGCAAATTTGAATGAGCATCTAGTTTATGTTTAGCATTTGTAATAAAATTACCTGTATATTGAACCACAAATCATTCCAGTATTGTTTGCAGTAGTATCAAAGCAAACAGTTCTTACATGATCTGCAACATCAAACTATCAGAATGCTCTTAATAGCAATAAACTGATAAAGCCCTGTTTCAGATGTAACTCCTGGAACTCCAAGCAGATGATTAATCCCCCCTGCTCTCAAAACAATGCAAATTTGGTCATCTGGTTTATCTTTGTGAGCTGGTATTAAGTCCTAGAAATATTTTTATATTAAGAATTATAAGATTAATAATTTGAAAAAATTATTATATACATCAACTTTATTTATTATATTTAGTAACCTTGATCAGCTTTCCATCAAAATGCAATTAAACAATTTTATTATATTTAATCTCATTTTGAATAAGAATCTTGAGATCGTCTGCATTGTTAATTATGTTGTTTTTTGTTCGAAATGTTGTGGTGTACAAAAGCGGTAGCATACCAGGATCACCTCCTGCTTGTGTGATAAGCTTAATCAATGTTGCAGTTATTTTATTGGTTGATATATTCATTCCTATAGCTTTTCTCATGGTTTCCTTAATATCCTCTTTTGTAAGAGTAATGTTCTGTCCATAATATCTGTTTCTTAAATTAGGCGCATAGATATTCTCTCCATCAGACTCTACTAGGCTCAACTAATATGCTGACAGTTTGTGCATAAGAACTTATGCACAAACTGTCAGCAAACTGACAGTTTGTGCATAAGAACTTATGCACAAACTGTCAGCATATTAGTTGAGCCTAGTAGAGTCTGATGGAGAGAATATCTATGCGCCTAATTTAAGAAACAGATATTATGGATATTTCGAGAAAACTCTCACAACGTTCTTTTCTATGCGCCTAATTTAAGAAACAGATATTATGGATATTATGAGAGAACTCTCACAACGTTCTTTTCTCCTCTTTTCAATTTTTAGTCTTCAATTATCAATGTGTCCCAGAGTTATTTTTTTTTCTCCAAGCTGATCTCTAAGAAAAGGTAAATCTTTAAATATGTCAGATGGAATCCTGTTTTGATAGCTTTAATAAGACTTTTTTTAGAATCACTTAACCAGAACAACCCTAAAAATAAACATTCCTTTGAAATCTCTGAACTATAAATTATTGTTCTAATAAATGTTTATTTAAATATTATTTAAGTCCTAACAAACTCAGCACGAGATTAAGTCCTTTTTGAATTTTTTTTTTTTTTTTTGAATTCTTCTTAAGGTTCAAATATCTATTAATAAATTTAAATAGATTTTTTTTGCAGAGTAACTGGTTCAATCATTTGGTAACCGAATCTTAGCCATGGAAACCATAATCCCTTAAGAATACTTTCCTTGCTACATGCAGTAACTGCAGTGGCACACTGTACACTATGACAAATAATTTATTTTTATTTTATTTTTAAAATAGAAAAACTCAAACTATTAAAAGCATTTTTTATTAATTACGAACGGCTGGTAAAAATTTTTAAAATAATGTTAAGTCTCGTCAAGGGTAAAATGTATAAAGTAACCTGAAACTATTACTTAAAGGGCAAGCAACCAGTCGCTTTTTTTCTGAATTAGAACCTATCTTTTCCTTTAAGTAGAGGAAATACTTATAACATCAGCCCGGGTTGGAAGTTGAACTGAGGGCATCTTCGCTGGTTTACCGACTAAAATGTTTTCCTTTTCATAATTACTTTCTCTTCTCTTCATATTTTGTTTTTTTCTTCAGTATTTTCTAAAAGGATTCCCTCTGTATTCGGGGTTCACATTTTTAGTTATAAAGTTAAACGTAACTAAGGAATTGAATATTTAAATTAACTCATGAAAGTTTTGATAAAAAAAGATAAACAGTTCATGACTTACCCGCTGCATTTATGAAAGTTAAGAAAAAGACATTAAGAAAAAAAGATAAAAAATAATTGAATAAAACATGCATAAAAAACTTAAGTACAAATGTTCTTATAGGTACCGATTTGTAAGAATATTATTCACGCTTCTTAAACAACACAGTATTTAGATTGTTTTCATAATATTTGCGAATCTTGTACTTGTACTCAAAAAAAGCCTGTGAGTAAAAGTATTATTTGTATAGCATCATAAAATGGTTAATTGCATTTAAATTAAAGTTAGGGCACTGACCCCTCAACAGGTTTTTAAAAACAAGATATGGAAATATATATTTTAAATTTAAAATGCATATTGTTAAGGACCTTGCATAACATTTTTAGGACTCAACAATTTGCGCCAAAATCTGCACTTTTTAGCGGTTGATTGATTTTCCTATATTTTTTTGCTTTATTTTGAAAAATCATTTGGCGCAAGGTGATCCAATAGAGATAAGAACTCAATTTTTTCCACACGTCATGTAGACATAGTTAACTATAAAATATTGTCTTTAAAAACCTGTATACATGTCTGTAGCACAATCAGGTCTTTAGATATTTTATAACTAGTAAGAATTTCAAAATTTGAAAAAAAGTGGCATAAGTTGGCGCAAGGTGTTAAAATCATTTTTTTGAAAACTAAAAAATATTTTTTGAAATAACTTGTAATTGCCCATTTTTTAAGCCTGCATACATGTTTAAAAAACAAAATTGATGAAAAATGAACACCCCTAATATATATATATATATATATATATATATATATATATATATATATATATATATATATATATATATATATATATATATATATATATATATATATATATATATATATATATAGCTTATTTGCAGTGTATATAAATAAAGAATAGTTGCAAATATTTTAACTAGAAAAAAAAAATTAGTTGTTGAGATATTATAAAATCCTTCTGATTTTTTTAATTAAAAAAAGGTTAATGTTTTCCATAATGGGGGTGTTTCCAGATATTTAGCACTTAATTAGATTTTTGCTAAATAAATTCAAAATTAAGTCTCATGTTCAAGATCTGCAGCAGTGATGAAGTGACATAGTTCTTACTTAGTAAGAAGTTTGAGGGCCCTGCAAATCGGCAGTTTTTGTTTCAAATCGAATCTCGAATCTAAGCAGGTCTTGATTCGCGATTCGAATCACATTTCGAATCAACATTTTTGAGTCTAAATTTAAGCATTTTTTATTTAGTAGTATATAAATATAGATATATTCAAAATAAAATAAAATAAAATTGTATAATCTTTTTATTGGTTTTTCTTGCCCTGGTTAACCTTTTTAATGACTGATTAAAAAGGTATTATTAATAAGTAATAAGAATTCGATTTTTGAATATCTCGAATCATATTTTTGATTCGATTCGAAATTTCGAAGCTTCACAGGCCCCTAGTTTAAGATTTTATTAAAATTTTCCCTTTTGTAAAAAATTTTTTTGAAAACATCCCATTATAAATTTGTTCAAATAAATTTTCATTTTATTTAAGTTTCTTACATTAAACATAATGATTAATGAGGCAATTCTTTTAGGGATATGCATTGGTTGAGTATGAATCTTTTAAAGAAGCTCAAAGTGCGTTAGAAGCTTTAAATGGAGAAGATTTGCTTGGACAAAAAATCAATGTTGATTGGGCTTTTGTAAAAGGCGGAGCCACTAAAGGAAACAAAAAAAGGTGATTTTTATATATTTTTTTATCTCTTAAAATAAATAATATGGACAGAAAAGTAAAGTATGTTGGTAGCATAGCCTTAAAAAAGTCTTGAATATTGATGATCAGAAAAACAGTTAAAACAATACTTAAATATTATCTGCTGAAATGAATTAAAAATGCTTTTCACCCTATTATAAAATTTATTAGACTGTTTAGAAAAGTCAGGCTTTAGGTTCTTCAAAAAAAACAAGTTTCTATACATAAAATATTAAAACTTTTTATTACTTTACTTAATCACTTTTAATGTCTGTTGTTAGTTTTTAAAAGAAAGAAGTTTACTATTTAAACTTATGATTTTTGATGGTGTGGACATATACAAAGCAGCAGGGAGAAGACTAAAATCAGATAATAAAGAATACTTAATGTTTGCTTAATACAATCTAAAAATAATTAAACAATTAAAATAATAGCAAATAAGTGTTGGCTAAATTCTTTATATAATATATATGTAATTTATTGCAATAAATAGCAATAAATTACATATATATATAATAATATATATATGTATGTGTGTATGTATATATATGTATATATATATATATATATATATATATATATATATATATATATATGTATATATATTATTATATATATATATATATATATGTATGTATATATATATTATTATATATATATATGTATGTATATATATTATTATATATATATATATGTATGTATATATATATTATATATATATATATATATATATATATATATATATATATATATATATATATATATATGTATATATATATATGTATATATATATTATTATATATATATTATTATATATATTATTATATATATTATTATATATATATTATTATATATATTATTATATATATATTATTATATATATATATATATATATATATATATATATATTATTATTATATATGTGTGTGTGTGTAATTTATTGCTAATTAATTGCTAATATGGGCTAATTGATCAAAAGTTATGTTATAGAAAAAGAAAAAAAAAAAAGGAGTAGACCTTCTCGACTGTAGTGTAAAAAAAATTAAAAAAATTTAAAGCAAATAAAAAAGAAATTAGACAACACTTATTTACTGTACCTTTTTTTAATTGTTTAATTAACTTTAGAAAATAATAAAAAAAAACCTTAAGTTTAGAAAATAATAAAAAAAAACCTTAAGTTTAGAAAATAATAAAAAAAACCTTAAGTTATTCTCCGTTATCTGCTTTTAGTCTGCTCCTTGTTGCTTCGTATATGTCCTCACCAGCATAAAATAACCTTTCACTTTCATATATGACGGAGGTACTGTATATATTTTGATTTCATCTTTTTTAGTTTTTCAAGTTGTATGCCAACTTTTCCCCACCACAAAAAGGACAACCTTTATTTTCTAAAAGAGGCAGAAATAAATAGTAGTTTTTTGAGTGATTGCAGACCCTCATATTGTTTGCTTCTTAGTTAGTTTAGTGGTAACAATTTAACAATTTCATAACAATTTCTCCTGGCTCTTTTTCTGCCTCAGAACATTTTTCAATCAGCTTTCTTCCAGCTCTCATGGAAGCTAAATTATTGCACCCTGGTGGTACAATAAACTTTATTTTATTAAATATTTTTTCTGAACAATTTAAAAAGGCTATAAGAGGCATTAATTTTATTTTTCTTTTTTGTTTTTTCGCATAATTGCCATTAATTAAAAAATAATGAAAAGTTAATTAAATAAAATACAAGAAAAAGAAAAGCTTTCATTTGGTTGACATCCAAATAAATGATTTTGAATAAATGGAGAAAGAGCATCATTAGAAGATCCGGCCCAGATATGGCAACAGTATTTCATACAAGGGCGGATTTGAATCTGGAGTAAGAAAGTGGCGAGCACGATATAGAGATGCAGCTTTAGCAGATGCTAATTTTGCATTGGATTTGATATATGGTTTTCAATAAAGATTGGAAGTAAGAGTTAATCCTAGAAGATGAAGGGTAGATGACTCATCCCATTTATAAATGTAGGAGGATCTAAATTATTGTGGTAACAATTGGCTGAAATAAATTGGGTATATCTGAATTAAAGTTCACCAACCACTGTGAACCCCATGCTGAAGCAGAACTGAGATCCTTTTTGAGCTCAAATGCACCCTCCAAGCAATCAGAGAGTGTTGGCTTCTCATTAAGACAAGAATAAATTGTAGCATCATCAGCAAACAATACCACCTTACATGTGAAAATATCTAGAAGATCGTTATGTATACGATAAAACCTATCGGTTATTACTGTTAGCAAACTGGTTAATATTGATAATATAAATAAAATTTGTCAGAAGAAAAAAAAATAATAATAATCTTGTATTATTTAAATATATGAAGTTTTTAACCGCTTGAAGTAGGCTCAAAATGTGTTTCGCTTGAACAAGAAAGCAAAAATAACTTTTTGTGATTTAGGTATATTAAACTTACAATCGGAATTCAACAAATTAGTGTGGTGCAGTATGGCTGTGGTGTAACCAGACTATAAGAAGAGAATTAAAAAATCGAATTTTTTACATTGCTTAACATATGCCATTTTTAAGAGTCACTGACCATATTGCTAGGAAAAAATGGTGTTGGAAGAAAGTAACCTGGTTCGTCGAAGATTGGAGTTTGAATTGTTTTTAGGGATAAAAGTAATTTCCATAATTTTTTATTGTAAATCAAGAGCGCACATGAAAAGGTTGAAAAGCGAGAAGTATGACACTCAATTTTTTTGTATAGCAAATGCAAGCTATTTTGTATAGCTATTTTGTATAGCTATATATAAGCTATTTTGTATAGCTATTTTGTATAGCAAATGCAAGCTATACGGTTCATTAGACATTTGGGTATGTATTTACTATAAAGGTGTTTAATCCATAAAAATTTTGTATAAAAACACCATGGAAATGTGCTTAAAACCATCAATATCAAAATTCTAGCAAAGGTCTCGCAACTTTTAATACCAAAAAAATGGTGCACCTTGCCACACAGCCAAAAATATTATAGAATATTTACAAGCCGAAAAAATACTTTTATTGCCATGGTGTATCCAATCACTTGATTTGAGTTCCATTGAAAATCTTTGGACTTGGTTGGATCTTAAAATGTGCAGCGTTAAATATATAAAAAAAACACACTTAAGTTCTTGAAAAAACTTGGAACTCAATTCCAAAAGAACTATGCATGTAGTTGATACAGTTGATGCCCAGGAGTGTAAAAATGTGTTTCAAAGCCAAGAGTGGCTATTTTAAGTACTGAAAATAATTGTTTTTTAATGTTAAACCTGGATGCGTATAGATTTAATTGCCACTTTTTTTTTTTTTCTCTTATATTTTATTTAAATATTTTTTAATATTTTTTAATTACCTGCTAATTGAATTTGTTATTTAATTTTAAATTATATGCAATTCTGCTGACAAACCAAAAAAATAATGCCTCTCTAATGGGTTTTTTTTTAAATTGCTCATAAAAACTATTGTACGAATTTTTTCTCGTCCAATTTTTATTATACCACTGTAATATATAACATTTAACTCAATTTCAATACTTGGTTATTCTAAAACCAATTAATAACAAAGATATTCTTTTTATTAATGAATGGAAATATTTAGAAAATAGTTTTTCTAAACCATTGATAAAATGTTTAATAAAATCTGTTATTTTAATTAAAATATTGTTTGTGTTATTAATTAAAAAGAAAAATTGAAAAATGTATAACCTTTTGTATATGCACCATTTTCCTAGATAAATAAGTTAATTTCCTTGTAAATTCAAACTTTAATAGAACTGTTATATATATATATATATATATATATATATATATATATATATATATATATATATATATATATATATATATATATAGCCACTATTTAAATTAGAGTTTAATATGAATAAAAGAATGTATTTAAATAGCTAAATGATGGTTAATTGAAGACTAATAAAGCTGCAAATTTTATTAATTAGGAAAGCGTTACAATATTAGAGAAATAAAAAGAAATAATGAAATGTTTTTGAATGCGTAGGAACATTCATGAAAAGGATGCTTCTCAACCGTCATTTTATATGAAATCATTCATGTTGCTCTCATTTCTTAGAATTTTTTTTTATTTCTATTTCTTAGAATTTTTAGCTTATTTGCAGTCCATAATAATAAAAAATATATATTTTAATTTAAAGTAAGCATTGGTTTTTGATAGTCTAATTGTGCTGAATCAGCATTTTAATATTATGTGAAGAGTCAAAAAGTATTTTTAGCATTTAATTTTCTGAAGCATTAGAAAGTGCAAAAAATCAATTGTAGTTTAAAAAGAAAAGCTGTTTCTATTGAAAATTATTGACATAGTTTCGAGAAAGAAGCTACTTCAAGCATCAGTTGGTATTCATTAAAAGCAGAGGAAGGAAAAAGATTTTAAGCTTGATGATTACTTTAAATGTAAAAATATATAAATAAATAGATAAAATTTTAAGTAAGTTATCGAAAGATAAATTTTCAAAGTTTCAAGAGTTTCATTGTGGGAAAAATCTATTTATAAAAAAATACTATCGATGAGATTTTTTTATTTTGCTTGTAAAATTTAGTTAAGTTTACTTTAGCAGTGTTCTAATAAAAGTATGATGCTATTAAAAGTGTGTGGCTCTGCTAAAAGTGTGTGGTTCTATGAAAAGTATATGTTTCTATTAAAAAGTTTTATCCAAATAATTTATATTGTTAGTTCTTATGTTATTTTTTTATATAATAACATTAACATTCTATTATTCAATAATTAGTATTAAAAATTAAGTAATAATTACTCTTTTTAATTCCATTTATTGTGCGTACTTTATGGACGACCTCTTATCGAGGTTAAAAAGATAACGGGTTTGGGAAGGAGAAAAAAAAGCGGTCTCTAATGTTGTGGTTGACAGGAGCCATTTCAGTTGAGTTTACGCAAATTTTTTTTCAATCAAGTATACTGATCTGCTAATACCGCCAAAAATTAATTTTAAGACGTTTTTGTATATCAGTTCATATGCAGATTATTTTTATTTTATATAATTTTAGGGGTAGCAGACGTTAGCAATAAACAAGACGTTTCATCAAGAGCAGTACGAGATGTTAAGAAGTTTTTTGCATCTTAGGCATGTTGTTGGATACTCTTTTTAAAATTGCACGTCTATTCAACGATATTATAATGTCGATAAATGTTTTAAATAAGTTTCCAATTATTAATTGTATTTGAGAAGAATCGAATATTATATATGACGCCCATTTTTTAAACATGTATCATGGAAAATTTAAATGAAAGTAAAATAATGTCAACTGAATGTAATATATCGAAATGTCTAAACTTTTGTCAGATACTAAATAGTATTATAATAGTTAAATAAGTCAGACTGATCAACTAGTCGGTTAATACAGTCATATTACAGCACCTGTAGTACTTTTGCTATTTTGTTGTCTCTGTTTTGTTGTCTCCTTGTCTCTCTTTCTTTATGTGTTTGTTTGTGTTTATATATATATATATATATATATATATATATATATATATATATATATATATATATATATATATATATATATATATATATATATATATACTAAAAAATTCATGGGCGCTCGTGGCGCTTGTATTTAGCAACCTTTTACACTTCTTGACGTTAGAATAATATATTATTCTAACGTCAATAACGTCAATAACGTGTATTTTAGTACTGTTATGAGAATTTAACAAAATTTGTTATAATCTCTTAAATTTTTAAAATTAAAAGTAAAAATTTGTTAAATTTATTGCTTAGAACACATTTATTATTTATTAAGTAATATAAATTGGTATAAGACAAAATAGCATAGCGGTTGGTGTGAATAATAAGGTTCTCCAAATTTTCATGGTAAAAAAAGTAAATTTTCTGTTTTTAGTTATAATATTTTTGTGTTCAAATTTAAATAATTTTAATATCTTTATTATTGTTTCTTTAATATCTTTATTATTGTTTATATTACTTTGAAAATTGTTAGTTTTTGTTTTTTCATTGTCAAATTTCAACCTTATTTAAAAAAGTTGGAATTAACAATTAATTTGTAGTCAAGCAATTTTAAAAATTTTGAAATTAATAATTTAAGATTAATTATTAAACATAAATAACATAAAAAACATATATTATATCAATATAAACAACAACAACTGTAAAACATTTTAATAGTTAAAAATCAAAAGTTAAATTCTCACTACGTTAAAAAATGGAGATAGAACCCTAAGGTGAGTTTCCACTCATCCGTTTTTTTACAGGAACGGGATAGGAAAGGAAAAATAATCACTTGAGCATGCGCAGTTTTACTTTAGACAAATTAAAACTTATAATACGCATGCCCACGTGATTATTTTTCCATTCCCGTTCCCGTGAAAAAACGGATGAGTGGAAACTCACCTTAATATTCTAACGTCACGACTTGTAAATGATAATTATTTTGAGAAGTTAAGTGAAGCCGGTAAAGGCAAATGAATCTTATATATATATATATATATATATATATATATATATATATATATATATATATATATATATTTATATATATATATATTATGCATACCTAATAAGTGTTTATAAGTGAAATTTAATTAAAAATTTAAATGATTTAAAACAAATGTTAAAAATAAAAAATTCTAGGTTATAGAATTTCATTATAAATTATATTACTCTCGAGTCCCTAATAAAGGGAATTTTGAAATTTTTTCCCACTCACCCCAAGCTTATTAAGGGTACTTCCCTCCGTTTATATCAAAAAAAAAACAGTGAAAATCGGCCTTAAAGATCAGAAAATAATTCTTTTAGTCATAAAGAAAAGCAAAAACTTACAGTGTAAACAGGCTTTAAAAATCCTACTGGAATTATGAGTAATAACTCTGTAAATAAAGTACCTTATGTCTTGAAACAAGTTCAGTCTCCAGATCTAAAGTGATTACTGTAAATGCTAAAAATTTTAGCTCCATATCTTAAACCAATCTTGAAATATCTTGTTTCAGGTAAAGGTAAATAGTGAAAAATGACAAACTGAGAAAACAACATTTTTTCGAAAATACGCGTTTGACCGCTAGAATTAAACAGTTTTTAGATGGTTTACCAGGAAATAGATTTTTTTTGTCAAATTGATTTTTTTTTTCTCAATATTAAATAAAATAATTCCAATAACGAATTTAGTTACTAGTTTTTAAACAAAATTTTAAATTTTAAAAATTTTTGTAAAAAATATCAAATTTTAGCCAAAAAAGACCTAATATTGTACGCACGAATGAAACAAGAAAACTCAAATATGAAATATCTATTTCTCTCAAATTTTGCATAGATATTCTCATATATATTATCTAGTTTCTGAACTAAAATGATGTTCATTGCATAAGTAAAAAGACCAAATTTAAAATTTTTCAATGACTTATACCACTTTTCGGGGGGTATACATAAAAAAAATTATAAACAATGAGTAATAACTCTGTAAATAAAGTACCTTATGTCTTGAAACAAATTCAGTCTCCAGATCTAAAGTGATTACTGCAAATGCTGAAAATTTTAGCTCCATATCTTAAACCAATCTTGAAATATCTTGTTTCAGGTAAAGGTAAATAGTGAAAAATGACAAACTGAGAAAACAACATTTTAAAAATAAAAAACAGTCTAAAAACTTCCTAAAAGCACACTTTTTTAGCGTCAAGTTCTTGTTCTTCATTAAACCAGTATTTAGATAATCCTTTTTAATAGATTTTTTTTTTGCTAAAATTTTTTTCTTTTCTCTCCATATTACTAACACGACGCCTGTCTCTTTTCAATGAATTGGCTAGTCTTACCACTGTGTTGTATATTAAAATATTCAAAAACACGTAATGTTCCTTTGTTAAAAATCAAAATAGCGGAATTTACTTTGATTTCTAGGCTACACTTCTTTATAAACACATTTTTAGATACTTTTTGGGTTAAATTATATTATTGATCCCATTATTGTAACTTTTTGTTACAATAATGGAATCAATTTCCTCCATGAACACCTTTTCACAAATTGATCTTTACTTAAATCTTTGAAATTACTTAATACAATATCATAGACCCATATAGATAGATTAACTTTTAGTTTATATTTGTTTATAGTTCACCTTCTGATTTTTTCCAATTACACTAACTTTCAGGGTTGTACCGGACATAAAACATGACGTTGCAACCGACTTTTAAAATTGGTACAGTATAAATACTGCTCTGAAAAACAACAATCGTTTTTAAGTTAACGTCAAATGCCCTCGTACCTTTATTTTATGTGGTTTTTCTCACATTATTGCTTGTAAAAATGAACCATTCACATGAACAAGATATAGATTTGATTTTCAATCTGTATAAAAATCCTATTCCCTTTGAAATGTCATTTTGCATGTTTACTCTATTTTGACAATCTGGGCAGCTACCAACTTCATAAATATTTCTTTGAAAACAAGGAAATACTTAATCAAATTAAAATCAACTTAACACTGTTTTTCATTCAATTTAAATTTGCTAAGATTTTTATCACGACATAATTTTTTATAGTAAAGTTAATTTTACTTGCTTTATCACTTGCTTTTTGGAACTTGTGTTTAGAGAATGTTTCCTTAACTTTTCTTATACAATTCTTCTTATTTCCATTTATTTATTTTTTATTAGCAAAAATGAAATAATCAAAATCTATAAACAACTTTATTAATAAAGATAAATATAGATAAAAAGGCGGGTAATATTCGGGGTTGCTGCTCTCCCTACCTCTATCTAAGAAATGGCAAACTTCAAAATATTATTGATAAAAATAAGAAAAATAAAAAAAATTCAAAATTTTATTATTTTTCTCAACAAAAAAAAAAAGTATTTATATAACCCATTCAATATATTTATTAGCAAACTATCCTCTAATCTTTCTAAAATCATTCTAAATGATCAAATGAAACAGTTGTTTTATTTAAAAATAACGTAAACCTTATTTTTCATATTTTTGTGTGTAGTTTCTCATATCGTTATTCCAACTATTTTGAATTTTTATTCCATTCTGTGCGGAATCTCCATGGAAATAGTTTAGCAATCATTAAAGAGCGTTTTTCATATAATTCTCCAATAGGTAATTGCTTGTGATGCAATAGTTAATGATTATTCTAAACAAGTATTAGAAATGGTTGTTTAAAGGGAATCGATTACGTAACAGTCATTACAGATATTTTAATTTAATTAATTGTGCAATATCGTATTTTAATTTATCATCTAGTATCATTACTTTAATAAAATCTCTTGTGATATCATAATTCTCGCCTGGTCTTTCGTTCTGTGTTCAAAATTCAACAACTTTAAAACTTTAGTTTTAAACAATTAAACATAAGTATACTTTAGTTATTAAAGAAAACTAATCTTCACAATGCCGGGAAATAACCTTGAGATTGATTACCGGCAGAATTGTTTTTATATATGATAACTTAACTCTCTAACGTAGCAGTTTGCGTGGCTAAGCGGATAAAGTTATGGCCGATGAATCCGGAGCTCTAGTTTCAAGTCTTTCCAAAGGATTTCGTGCAAATCACAGTGAGCTAAATTGACCGCCAGTTTGTATGTCTTCCCATTCTGAACTTTTTTTGTTTCATATATAGATACCTACTGACCTATTGTAAAAAAAAAATTAAATTCACGCCTATCAAAGGGTCTTTTTTTGGAAATAATATTTCTGATATTATTTAACTCCTTTGACATTTTTTAGATGTAAAATTTACTATAAATGCCCCCAAAATTTAATTTTGCCCCAAGCCCAAAATGAGTTCAAAGCGTCATTTTTGTTGCTTTTAATAAAAATAAAATAAAAACTATAATAAAAAAATAAAACTTTTTTATTTGTTATTAACGGTTTTATACATTTTCAGGAGAATATGCTCTGTGTGAAACTTGTGGAAATAAGCTATAAAAAAAGTACTTATAAAGATTTTTAGCATTTTTAGATTTCATTAGTTTAAATAAATTTATTAGTTTTCTTAAATAAGAGAGAGAGAGGAAAAATAAAAAAAGTAATCTTTTTTGAGTTTTAATTTTTTATATTAATATTTTGTAATTTGTTTTTGAGGAATTAATATATTACACTTTATAAGAGCAGATTGTAAATTAAATTTTACGTTTACTTTTTTCATGTTTTTTTGTTTTTTGATATTTTTGTTTTTCTGAATGAACTTTTAAATTTTTCTTTCAAAAAATAAAATCGAAAAAATATCTTTCAAAACTTTGAACTATTAAACTATTTGGCATTTTATATAAACTTCTTTGTAACTTTTTGCTTTTTTCTTAATTT